CCATAAAATTACCACTTGATTCATTAGGAATTTGAATTGGTGGTGTAGCTTGAAATGATCCCTCAGCACTCTGCTCTTGTGTGTTAGACATTTATCACCTAAAAATAAATTTTAAAAAAACAATTATGCCTTTCCATTGAAATATAAAATAAAAACTGCTATATATATGTATCAACATTTGGTAACTTGGAAGTATGTCGTTGCCCCCCTCCCTTCCAAAAAAAGAAACAAATAAATCGATCCTTGAGCAACAAGCTCATGACTATCTCTTTAGAGTTTTCAAATTCAAAATTCAGATTTTAAATCTAAGAAGGAATTCGTCTCAATACTGTTCTGCTCCTTCTGGATGATGACGTCCACTCTTGATCCTCTCATTAAAATAGATCAAATGCAAATATATATACAATGATCAGGATGTGCAGTCTTCAATTTAGGGAGAACAAGTGTTAGCGACATTCTCTTTTAACTACTGTTTTTTTCATTTTGGGTAGTGGGTACACGGGAAGGTGGATATAAGATCAAGGTTTTTTTACTAGAGTCCTTATTTGTAACACACTTTCAAAATTTGTAAAACACCAATCTCAAGCTTTAATGATAGTAATAGTAATTACAAATTGTTAAAAAAAAAAAAATTCAAGGAGGGGGTGGTAAACAGTATTAAACGTCTAATTGATGCAATCTATCTGTATTAGATGCAATCTAAAAAATTCAAACTTTCTCTATGTTAATTCAACCATAATCAAATTATTAAACTTTTTACCGTTGGATGCAGCACAGGCAGCAAGCAGAGAGGGAGTCCAGCACAAGCAGCAAGCACAGGAGGCAGCAAGCACAGGGTCCGGCACAGAAGGCAGCAAGCACAGGAGGCAGCAAGCACAGGGTCCGGCACAGAGGCAGCAAGCACAAGGTCCGGCACAGAGGCAGCAAGCACAAGGTCCGGCACAGGAGGCAGCAAGCAGATCGGGTCCGGCACAGAGGCAGCAAGCAGATCGGGTCTGGCACAGAAGGCAGCAAGCACAGGAGGCAACAAGCAGAGGGTCCGGCACAGAAGGCAGCAAGCACAGAAGGCAGCAACCAGCAAGCACAGGGTCCGGCACAGAGGCAGCAAGCGCAGGGTCCGGCACAGGAGGCAGCAAGCAGATCGAGTCCGGCACAGGAGGCAGCAAGCAGATCAGGTCCGGCACAGGAGGCAGCAAGCAGGTCGGGTTCGGCACAGGAGGTAGCAAGCAGGTCGGGTTCGGCACAGGAGGTAGCAAGCACAGGGTCCGGTCCGGCACAGAGGCAGCAAGCAGCTTCAACAGTAGACCTATAGGCTGTAGTAGATCTGTAGCAGGCTAGCAGCAAGAAGGGGTTGTGGCTGAAACCAGGAGTGACCGAGTGAGTGAGGGGTTGTGGCTTGTGGGTGGCTGCGATGTGAGTGAGGTGAGGACTGAGGTCTGAGGAGAAACCGAGAAAGGGAGGGGAAATTATCAAAGTTATGAAATTAGGGTTGGAAGGGGGATTAATTAGGGTTATAAGTTGTAAGGAGGATGTTGGATTGGGTTGGCCGGTTGGGTTGAATATTTGGGTTGGGTACTTGGGTTGAATATTTGGGTTGGGT